ACCCATTGCCTGCACCCCCATTGTATCTAGGAAGTAAATAACTTGCTTTTGATTTTACAGGCTCATAGATGGAAGGGGCTTGCCTTGTCTCAGATAAGAGTTTGGAATGTGGACTTCTGAGTTAATATTGAAATGAGTTAAGACTTAGGGGGACTGTTGGGAAGGCATGATTGGTTTTGAAATGTGATGTGAGAACATGAGACTTGAGAGGGGCCGGGGCAGAATGATATAGTTTGGGTGTCCCACCCCAAATCTCACCTTGAATTGTAATAATCCCCATGTGTCAAGAGCAGGACTAGGTGGAAATAATTGAATCATGGGAATGATTTCCCCTATACAGTTCTATTGGTAGTGAATAAGTCTCACAAGATCTACAGTTTCCATAAATGGGAGATCCCCTGTACAAGCTCTCTTGCCTGCGGCCATGTAAGACATGACTTTGCTCCTTATTCACTTTGCGCCATGATTGTGAGCCCTCTCCAGCTATATGGAACTGTGAGCCAGTTAAACGTCTTTCCTTTATAAATTACTCGGTCTCCAGTATGTCTTTATTAGCAGCATGAGAACAGACTAATACAACTACCAAAGGTACAATCTGTGAAAAAAATTAATACGTTTGACTCTATTAACATTTAAACTTCTGTTCTACAAAAGACACTATCAGAATGAGAAGACCAGCCATAGGCTGGGACAAAATACTTGCAAAAGACATATCTGATAAAGGACTGTTACCAGAATGTACAAAGAACTCTTAAAACTCAACAATAAGAAAATAATGACCTCATTGTAAAACAGGGTTTTAACAGAACTGAACAGACACCTCATCAAAGACACCTTGCCAAAGATGGCAAATAAGCATACAGAAAGATACCAACATCATGTCATGAAGGAATTGTAAATTTAAACAATGAAATACTGCTATGCACCTATTAGAATAGCCGAAATCCAAAACGCCAACAAGCCGAAATCCACTAACAATACAAAATGAATAGGAACTCATTCATTGCTGGTGGAAATGCAAAAAAGTATAGACACTTTGGGAGACATTTTGGCAGTTTCTTACAAAACTAATCATACTCTTGCTATATGATTCGGTAATTGTGGTCCTTGTTTTTTTTTTTTTTTTTTTTTTTTTTTTTTTTTTTTTTTTTTTTTTTTTTTTTTTTTTTTTTTTTTTTT